CTGGAGAAGAGATTTTCAAAACTGTTAGGAAGAGTAAAGATGGTAATGGAAATGAGGGCTAAAGCAAATAAGAGAATGGAAAAAATATAGCAGGCAAGCAGTAATCAAGAGAACACCAGTGTAGTAATACTAACTCAGGCAAAAATAGATTTTAAAGCAAAACAGTTGCTAGGAACAAAAAGGGGCACTAAATCATAATAAAAAGAGCAATCCACCAAGAATGTATTACGATCATGTATATGAACCCACAACACAGCTTTAAATATATATAAAACAAACACTGACATGGTTATATAGAGGAAATAAAATTATGATCATGTAGGAGGTTTTAACACTTGCTTATTGGAAACAGGACAGAAAAAAAGTTCAAATGATAGAGACAAACTTTAGACATTTTAAAAATCTTGAGAGTTAATTTAAAGGGGTCAAAAACTATTGAGATTTTGCATTTGGTTGCCAGAGAAAATGCAGGCTCTATGTTAATAGAACACCAGATCTTTCGAGAGAAATTTAGAATCAGCATTTTTGGATAGCAAGTCCTCATCAATACTGTGACATTTTAAGATATCTTATGACATAGTGCAGTTCACACAAACCAGGTCCTCAGGTAGGTCTATATCTGAGTGTCCTAATTGCCTTCCCCTCCATATGTACACTTCTTGAGGTCAGGATTTTTATCCATCTCTTTATCCTTATGTTTTCCATGGTGTTTGAGGATTAAATGAGAAAAAAAAACAATGTAATAATGAATTCATGAATTAAAGGCTATTCCTGCAAATGATCTCACTGAATGCTTTATACATATGCATATGGTAAATGTTTCTGGTAGTGTGTTTTCTCTCTTCTACAAGCCCCAAGGCTTCCTAAAACATGAGAGAATCTCATTCTTTTCTTCTCCAGTGCCTTGATTATACCAGTGAGAATGGCACATATTAAAAAAACTAGCAACAACAAATGTTGGCGAGGTTGTGGAGAAAAAGGAACTCTCCTGCACTGTTGGTGGGAGTGCAAACTGGTCCAACCACTATGGAGAGCTGTGTGGAGATTTCTTGACCTACTAAACATAGAGCTTCCATATGATCCAGCAATTCCACTCCTAGGTATTTACCCAAAGGACACAGAAACATCAATTCCAAAGAGCACCTGCACCCCTATGTTTATAGCAGCACTGTTTACAATAGCTAAGCTTTGGAAACAACCCAAATGCCCCAAAATAGATGACTGGATCAAGAAGATGTGGTACATATACACCATGGAATATTACTCAGCATTCAAAAAAGATAAACACATGCAATTTGCAGCAACATGGATGGCGCTGGAAGGGATCATGTTCAGCGAAATAAGCCAGAAAGAAAAAGAAAAATACTGGATGGTCTCACTCATAGCAAGAATCTAGAAAACTTAAATAAGGAACCAGGAAAAAGAATAACTATAAGAAAGAAAATATCAAAATCAACAAACAACTATGAACCAGAGACACTCTATGGGGGGTGGGGGGCAGGGAAAGGAGAGGCTGGGATCAAAATAAGGGGGTTGTAATTGTATGGGGAATATAAAAATAAAATTTAAATAAATAAATAAATAAATAAAGGATGATGAATAAGAAAGTAAATAAATGGAATGTCTATATTTGTAACATATACTATATACATTTAAGAGGTAATGGTTATTATTAAAATCATAGTCTAGTGATTATAATAACAAAAAATACAACTCTGACATTAAAGGAGACCATGTTTGGTTGTCTGTGTACCCCATTTAGCTGAATAGAATGAACACTGTTCATTTAATACTAATAGCTCCTTAGTTTGTGGGAGAGTGTACTACTTCTGGTGTGTGCCTTTGAACAAAATTTTGAAACTTCCTGAGTCTCAGTTTGCTTATGCATTAAATGGAAATGATAATGCTTGCTCCCCGGGCCACCTGAGCATATGATTTCACAAGTGAAATCATAATTAAATTACTTGGCAAGCAGTAGACACACAATAAGTGTTAGTTACTGCTATTCTCTTTTGGCAGTAAATCTGTGTCTCATTCTTTGGGATGGGAGTGGAGGTGAAGGGCATGTATTTCCAGATTTTGGTTATGGGGATCAGTTCCAGAACTGTAGAACAAGGATTGCCAAGATTCCTCTTGATTGTCTCTCACACCAGCTTGTTAGGATTCACTTTTCCATCCTTGAAATGTCCATTATGTTTAACAATGTTTAACAATTAAGCCTAGGGAATTATTTTTAGAACACTGTTAAAATGTACACACCTTTCCTGGGGTAGACCTCTGTCTCTAATTTGCAAATATGAATTGACTTGCATAGTGGCATGTTAGAGACACATGGTACAGTTAATTTAATCTTGCAATACTGCAATGAGAAGACCTGCACAAACTCGTTTCATCAATAACTTCTTCACATATTAAGGGGGAAACTACCTGAGATAGTCTGTGGAGATCTGTGTACATCTCCTCAGGAAAATGCTCTTCTATATTCACATACAAAAGTTGTGCCCAGTTTCAGGCTCTTCTCACATCCATACATAAGCTTCATTTAGAGCCCATAACTTTTTCAAGGTTTTTTTGTTTTCTATTCAGGAGAGGAAACTGAATCCTTGATTTATAGACTCAAGTTGGATGTACAGTCCTAGATTGGGTCTCCTAGGAAGATGACTTTACATGGAGATTAGTGAGCAGGGTGTTTACTAGGAAGCACATTGGAAGTCAACAAAGGGAGACATAGGAAGCAGAATTGGGCAAATGGAGGAGTATTAATCTATTCTTAATAAAGTCATCAGTGGACCTTATGGAGACCTGTGAAAGTAAAATGACCTTTCCAAGTCATCCCAAGTTGGGAGAAAAGGGTGTTATGGCAGCTTTTACCACTCATTGAATATAGAATTCTCTTGGTAAATCAGTGTTCTTCAATTTAAGCAATTTTGAAAGGGTTGATAGCTGAGATCCTCAGATGGGAAAAATCCCCTCTGTGCCTGGGGTAGCAAGCTCTTCAGGTATGACGGAAGAATTGGGTAGCATGTCACAGTATACACCACATAAAGAGACTTCTTTGTGGTCACTCATTATTTGGCAAAGCACTCATTATTTGGCAGAGCAAATTGGGGACTTGGACCCAATCTCCAAACCCTGAGTTCCATGATATTCCTACTTTGCCTCTTCATCCATTGCTTGTAGTACGTTTCACCCCAGTCAAAATTTCAAAGCCCTTTTAAACTCTGCTTTGGAACAACTCTATACCAGATGCTAGAAAGGAACATTTACTCGAATATTGTCTCAGCCTCTTTGTGTAGATTGTTAAATGTCCTGCTACTCTTGTGCAAGACCAAATAACACCTACAATTGGGGGGAAAAAAACCTAATATTAAATTCCATTACTCAACTCAGGAGCACCAGAGACACAGAAAAGGTTCAGAAAGGGGCAATGAAAAAGAATTGAGTCATAACAGTATTATATGGAGTAATGAGTTTAATTTCCCAAATTCTCAATTTCCACCCTTAGTTCTAAGCTTGATTCTTTTTAAGCAATTTAACCATAATTTCAGGGTAGCCTTACAGTGTATTGACTAAGAACTAATTAGTGTGTTCAGGCCTTTAATGAGTCTGATTTGTGAATTGCAACTTCTGGAGTTTTTCTTTTTCCTTGCAATTTGACCAAAGCTAAACTATGTTTTAAAATGCTACCCTTGAAGATAAACTCTGTTGTTGCCAAGGGACTTCCTGTAGATATCTGATGGTAGCCAAGAAGCAAAATGCATCTCTGTCCCTGTTTTTTTTCCCCTACAAGAGCCAGTTCTCAAGATGAGTCATGGTATCTAGCTGGAATAGAGATTAGACCAAGGCATGTTCATGTTCCTCTTACTGCATCCAGTCTTTTATACTGGTTTCTTTTGACACCCTGAAGAAGGGTTCCTCCTTATGAAAATCAGAGATTTCACAAGTAGTAGTCTCTGCACTACAGATGATTATAAACTCATAAATAGTTTTATGCATTTGCTGTTAAATACTGCAGTAGATATTACTGGAGTCCCCCAATATATGGCTCTGTTTTTCTTAGTGTCCTTCCAGATAAATGGGACCACATGACTATTTCTGTACCATAAAATATCAATACACGTGATGAATCTCATTCCCAGGACAAATCAGTAAATTTCCATATATTATTATCATTTTACTTTTTTCTTGCTGTGAATCCTGGACAAGAGTAACTGACTTTGGAGAAGATAGGGGACAGTTGGCACTGGAGAGTCTCACTCCTCACTTGAGTTACACAACTGAGGTGGTCATTGATTCTTTTATGGTTAGAGCAGGTCCTGAGGTCAGCAGTCCCCACCATACACAGTCTAGATGTATATGAGGTACAGGGACCATTGTTGTTTTTGCATATATCTTTATATTTTATTGGCATAATTGCCTTGTAGATTGATTCTGGCCATTTTCAGATAACTGTCAAGTTCAACATTTATCATTACTACATTTTAGCATGTTATTTAAAAAAAAAAAAAAAACTCATTCACAGGGCCTCCCTGGTGGCACAAGGGGTAAGATGCAACCTACGAGGCTGTCTGCAGCCACTGCAACATGAGCTTGATCCCCGGCCAGGGAGCTACCCACACAGCACAGCAGACCTCTCCTGACTTGCCTGCTACTTTCCTCAGCAGTGTATTTCAGTCAATTCGCCTGTTCTGTTCCCCACTCTGTCTGTGGTGAATCCTCTCACCCCCCACAACTCTGGCCTGTACCCCAGTTCTTGTATGCATAAATAAGTAAATCTTTAAAAAAATTCATTCACACTATCCATATCCTGTCTCTGACTTAGATCCTCAGAGCTTTACTAGAACCTAAAGCATAGAAAGTATAAATCACTGGGGTCCTTAGGATCGATGTATCTTTTTTTTTTTTTGTTACATAATACATGTCCCAAATAAACCTGATGTCTTTTCCTTAAACAGGTACAATGGAAATTCCACTGCTTCATGCTCCCTTCAATTTTCTAGGTAACCTCCTGGGCTGAATATCTTCTGCGTGCTCCGTGAGGTCAGTCTCTTCCTCTCCATCCTGCATTATGACTTGTATGAATGACTTACATAGACAGCACTGGAACTTCTGGCTTTACGTGTAGTCAACGAGAAACACAGGTAAGAATTTGGAGGGTGAGGAGAAAATGAGATTGTCTGCAGGATGATTATGCCCCTTGATGGAAGACCTGGGCTCCCATAGGTGGTCGGCTCCACTGAACTACCTCCCCAGATTTCTATAACCTCTGTCTTTCCTCCCTTTTTGGTCTTGGGTGTTAAGTCTCCCCCATCATACGTAGTCTCCCAGTTTGATTTCTTTCAATCCTATTTATAGCTCTGCAAATTTTTAATTTTCATTAAACTCTTTTCAGAGACCACATTTTCCCTGCCAAGACACTGACACACATTTACCAACCCACCTTCTATGTGGAGTCTGATCCTATATTGCTCAGAGAAGCCTCTGAAATCAGGTGGGCATAATCCTTCCTTCTGATATGGAAATAGCTTCATATTTAAAGTTCCCAGAAAGAATTAAGTAATTTCTCCTTATTTTATAATATTGTGCTATCTTCTTTTATTTTCCATAAGGAAGTGTTTTCAGTAGAAGAGCTTTTCAGCTTATCCCAGGTCCGGGGTTGGAGGTGGGCTTCCAGAATGTATGACAAATGCACAAGTGTGTCAAGCTGTGACAGTCTGAATGGACTGAGATTTCAAAAATCTTATGAAAGGGAAACTTTGAAGTGCCTTATTCAAAGGCAGCTGAAGCTTTTATCATCAGAGGAGGAGATTCTAATATAGCCTGATAATTAGTATAGAGTGGGGGCTTTCACCCCTCTGAGGAATGAGATGCCATGCTGGAATGTTCCCTGAACCCAAATGTGGTGGCACAAAAAGCCCAGGTCTCATTCCTGAAATTTATAATGATATCAACTATAATTTTATGAGATAAGGCATCATTTTTAAAAAAGGCTTGAGCCCTTATAGAGCTATTCAAATAACCATTGAGTCATTTGAACTGAAACAGGAGTTAGTTCAAAGTGGCAGTTCATAAATTAGAGGTGCTGCTGTTTCAAGGAGAGGGCATCAATGCCAAGTGGAGGGTCTGAGGCACTAGTTACTAAGTTATTGCTATACTCAGACTGCAGCAAAGTGGGGCCAATACAGGCAGAATCTGACTTTTAACTTAACTTTAGAGTGTAATTAAAGGCCATCAGGCACATACCAAACATACTTTATGTACATATTTGCTTGTTTACTTATTAATTCAACATATTTATTTCTTAGTTCAAATAATGTGGTGGAGTGGGAGGATGGATAAGTAACAAGGCAGGCTGTTAAGGAATTTCTCCAGTTTAATGGGGAAGGCCTCAAAACGGAGTCAAGTCTGATGTTCAAGTCTTTGTGCCAGAATGTGATGGGGCCCACAAATATAGAGGAAAAGGGCCCAACTGTGGGCTTAGGGCATGTGATTTAGGCAAATCACTGAAGACTTTGCCAGAGGAAGGGATGTGTGAGCTATTCCTTGTGGGGTGAGTTGTGGTAGCTTTGATGGATGAGGTGAAGGAGAACTTCCTAGCAGAGAGTGCAGGGAGCTTTGCTGCTTGAGGAAGGTAAAGTCCAGGGAACTTCAGGTGCTTCTGTAGGGCTAGAACATATTTGTGAGGTGGCATGGAGGAGGTGCCTGAATTTGGGGGATAATGAACATTGAAAGATTTAGCTTTAATCCAAAGGCTAATAGCCCCATGCTTGGTAGGCATTCCTATCACGTGCAGAATCGGTAAAAATGCAGATTAGTGACATTTTGATTGGTGACATTTTGATTCAGTAATTCTGGGATAGGATTATGGAATCTGCATTTTAAAAAGCAACCTACAGACTGTATTTTGAGAAATTGCCCCCACTGGAGATGAAAAGCTCTGGGGAGAGTTAAATAGAAAATATCCCAAATAGCATATCTGTATGGGCAAACATTTGTCTTCCTTTTCATGCTACTGTTGTGATTTGACCCTCATTTTGTGAGAATAAAGGAAAGTTGAGGGTACCGCTGAAATGATCCATTGTTGAGGTGTTGCAATGTGTATATGATCCCCTCTACTTGGTCATCTGAGAGCTACTTCATGTTGCCATTTATACAATTGATGTAGATCCCAAGCAACTCCAAAGTATAATTGCATAGATTTGCAATATCAAATACAGTGTGCAATGGGATAATACAGTGTTTTATATAAAAAATTATAACCAGTTGAAAGGGAATAGCTATTACCTGGAGACCAGGATGAGGAGAGATGAGCTTTGAGGGCATTTACATTTCCTAGTAACATGAGGAAAAATATGAAATGTGTTGAATTATGCATTTTGCACTGTTTAAGAAAAAGTGCATTCACTTATCAGAGACAAATATTCTCTGATCTGATGTTCAAGGAGGGATGTCAATTATAGTTCTGTAAAAAATAGAAAATGTGTTCCTGTTATGAGAAAGTGGCTTATTTTTTTCAATCTTAGATACCCAAATGTGGAAAGTAGCAGGAAGTTCATAGTTTCACTTATGTAATTTTTGGAAGATAGCACAAAAATGAACCTGGAGAAAATACAATGTTTTGTTTTCTACTTAGGATTGCAATTACACAAGACTTCCCATTGTTCTAACAAACAATGTTATGTCTTTGTTGCGATACATAAAGTTACTGTATAAAAAGTTCTGAAAAACAGCTGAGGCAGTTGTTGGTAGCAAAGATCATCCAGATGAAATGATGATCATCCAGATCACAGTCTGTATATCTTTCACCTCATAAAGTTTAAAGCTTAATATACAATACACATGACCTATAAGGGTAGGGGATGTGGGCATAAAATAACAAGTACAATTTTTGGAATGAAAAATAAAAAGAAAATGCAATCGAGATAGTACAGAGTCAAAAAAAGCTATAATTTATTTGTAATAGTAAGACTCATACCTTAATAAGCAATCATTACATAACCACAGAGATATTTGTAATGGATAGATGAGTAGATGGAGTAACAACTGGAGAATATAGGGATCTGGGTTGGCATTTGTGTTACCTTTGCTGTGTGTGCCCAGAGTTTGAGCCATGCTCCTCATCCATTTGCATCGTGTCTATGGCTACTTTCACACAACAGTGACAAAGCTAGATATAACAGAGAATGTGTTATTTGTAAAGCCTATACTATTTATTATCTAGTCCTTTACACAGAATGCCAATCCCTACAACAAATGGTTGTATGAATTAGTGAGAAGATCAGGTTGGTTTCTGTATAGTAGAACCAAAATTAACAATGGCTTGAAAACATAGATGTTGGGCCTCCCTGGTGATGCAAGGCTTAAAGACAGCACTTTCAAGCTATTTGGCAACCACTGCAGCATGAGTTCGATCCCCAGCCAGACAGTAACCCACATGGTGCGGCAGACCTCTCCTTTTCTGCTCCCACTCTGTCTGGTGAATCCTCTCATGCCCCACACCTCTGGCCTATACCCCAGTTCTTGTATGCATAAATAAAATAAATCTTAAAAAATACAGACATTTATTCCTCTCTCAAATAGAAGTCTGACCTGGGAGGGTAGCCCCACTTTAAAGAGAACCCCATTTCTCTGCCATTTTAGAAGGACACTAAACCTATGGGATCATCCTCCACTTGTGCAACCTCATTTAACCTGATTAATCTCCTTAAAGGTAGAAATACAGTTTTACTATAGTCCATATGTTTGACATTAGATTGTCTGAGTCTGAAACAAACATTACATTTGGGGAAGTTAGTTTACCAGTCTAAGCTTCAGTTTTATCTCAAATGGAAGTGGTCATAGTATACAAGGCAAAGTTTTGAGGGTTAAATGAGACAGTTTACCTAAAACACTCAGCATAGAGCCTAACACATAAAAAATAAATAGCTGTTATTGTTTTTACACATTGAATATTTATATTACAGGACTGATAAAAGCACTGAGTTCTCTTCAACCCATAACCCCACATCTTGAAATCATCTAGATTATAGCCTTCATTTCCTGAGTCCCACATCCAGGATCTAGCAAAGCAGGGTCAAAGGATAAGAAATTTTTTTGGTAAGAGTTTCGGATGACTGCACTTTCCCCAATGAACAGCAAGAGTGAGAGAACATTGTATGGAACAGTACGCATAACAAAATATTAGTTAGCAAGAATTTCCCAGACCAGTGTTTCTCAATCTTTTATTCATTATCTCTTTCTCCCTTAAGAGGACTTTTTAGGCACTTTTCCTAATTAAAATTTTTAAATATCTCAGATACACTGTTTGACTTATTATGTGCTATATCTGTTCTTTGTATTTGAAAAGAAGAAATTTTTCACCCCCATAAAGACACATTTTCAACCCATGGAGGCAATATTCCAAGTGTATGGCCTAGGCAATGCAACCCAAGAAAACACCTCAAAATCATTTTGTCAACAACTTTATTCACTTTCTTTACAGAAGAATATCTTAAACAACATGGCTTGAGGAGCATGTGTAAGATAAACCTACTAGTCATTGTCCATCGTTGTTTTTATAACAAATAAAATTAATTGAATAATTAATTTAATTACTTTTAATATATTTCTTACACAATTGCAAGCTCTGTAGTGGCAGAAACATGTCTACCTTTGTCATTGTTAAATGGGTTATTATATAAAATAGGGACTCATTCTTTCTTGAGCATATTAATGGGGATTTTAATGTCCAATGGGAAAAGAGGACAAGACACATAAAAGTGAAAGCATTTGAGGGAATTATGTCTAGTAAAGTATGTCATAATGACAAAGGCTAATATTTGATATTTTGACAAATCAAAATACTTATAAAAACTATGGGATACTAATAAAGAAAAACTTCTGAATTAATAGAGATGATGGTGAAAGTGTCAAAAGTATATAAGAGCTGGTGGTGAAGAAAAAAATTGGAAAAAATACAAAAAAAAGTAGAAAGTAAAAAAAAAAGGGGGAGGGAGACAGTTAAAAGGGAAAAACATCTTCCATGATCCATGAAAGTACCTCTCAGAATTATTTGGAGTAATTTCTACAAAAAACAAATAAAACTTCATGAGTTTATTTAGAATTGTGCATGAGGAGCAGCAAAAGAGAGGTGAGCTGAGATTGCCATGGTCTTTCCTGTACTCAGTAGAGGTTTAATTCTTCCCATGGGGAGCTTTCTAGAGAAAAGCTTGAGGATAGAGTATGTCTTGTTCATTATTAAATGCTATAAGGTCTTAACTCAATCTCTTCTAAGTGGTGCTTACATATTGTTTGAATTATGAGTTGATAAGATAGAAAGCAAGTTTTTTTGAAATGAGAGAGATATAAATGTTCTTACTTTTTTCTTTTCATTTATTTAAAGATATATATATATATAGATAGATAATATATATTTAGATCTTTTAAAGAAGCTTTTACAAAAGTAACATTTTATATTTGTAGAATATTAATTTTGGCATTAATGTTTTTTTA